AAAGTGTACTCCTAACTCTATAGGGAAAATGGTATCTATTTTTAGTCCATAAACCTAGATTTGAGGCCTTTTTAAGGTTTTGCCTTTCCCAATCTGTGTGGCCTAATTTAAATTCTCAGTTTTGGGAAATGAACAAAATGTAAAACAAAAAACCCCCAAAGTAAGTGCAATTTATTGTGACATGATTCATATCCCAGACAGGCTCCTGCCCCCTATTAAGGCCGAAGTGAGATTTACATATTCAGAGTCAGGTGTGGCTGACAGGTTATCAGGTCAACCTGTAGATCTGCCATCCCTCCTGTCGCTTGTGGCCAGGGATGGAAAGAGTGTCCATCTGTTTGTCTGAGGATTAGATTTGTGCAACCAGTTGCGGCTCATGGGGAGAAAAAATGCTTTCAATCCGGCTGCCTGCCCATTGTGAAGGTGGGGAAGCCACGGGCTCTGGAGTCAGGATATCCGGTTTGAATTACAGCTCCACCACTTAGCTGTGGGACTTAATATACGACACCTTTGAGCTTTGGTTTCCTCAACTCTAAATGGGATCTGAACAGTTTGTAATATTGTTGGAAAGATTAAATGTGTTCTAAAGTATAAGGTACTTTATTACAGAGTATAGTGGGCATGAAATAATATTATCACACATTAGGTTACCCAACGCACATGGGTAACCCAACAATCAGGGCTGGGCACGATGGCACACACCTATAATCCCAGCACTTTGGGAGGCTAAGGTGGGAGGATCCCTTGAATCAGGAGTTCAAGACCAGCTGGGCAACACAGTGAGATCCCCATCTCTACAGAAAAATTTAAAAATTAGCCAGGCATGGTAGCGTGCACCTGTAGTCCTAGCTACTTGGGAGACTGAGGTAAGAGAATTGCTTGAGCCCAGGAGGTTGAGGCTGCAGTGAGCCATGATCACGCCAATGTACTCCAGCCTATGCAACAGAGATCCCGTCTCAAAACAAACAAACAAACAAAAGAAATTAATATCTACCATATCATGAACTTTCATTACAAGCTTTTCACTAAGATAAGGGTTTACATATACTATAATACCATATTAATTTACATAACAAGCCCTTGAAGTATTTAGCCCTATTTTAGAAACCAGGCTTCAGGCAGGGCACGGTGGCTCACGCCTATAATCCCAGCACTTTGGGAGGTCAAGGCAGGTGGATAACAAAGTCAAGAGAGCAAGACCAACCTGGCCAACAAGGTGAAACCCTGTCTGTATTAAAAATACAAAAATTAGCTAGGTGTGGTGGCGCTTGCCTGTACTCTCAGCTACTCGGGAGGCTGAGGCAGGAGAATCACTTGCACCCAGGAGGTGGAGGTTGCAGTGAGACAAGATCACACCACTGCACTCCAGCCTGGTGACAGAGCAAGACTCCATTTCAAAAAA